GCTCGCCGCGGGGCAGACCCCCGGGACACGCGTCGGCCGCTTCGGGGGTCTGTGCGGGTCCTGGTCCGCGAGGCCCCCCGCTCCCATGCAGAGGGGCCAGGCCCCGCGTGCCCCGCATCGCTCACATTCCTCCCCCCAAGGCTTCAGTCGCCCGCCTTGCCCCCACGCGGGGGGATTTGCTGCGCACCTGCGGGGGGACCCCAGCGTTGTTGTCATCGCTCGGCTCCAAGGCAGCGCCGCGGGCTCGGTCCCCCGGCTCTGCGGTCACTCTCGTCCCCCCCGGCTGGGATTCCTGTGGGCTGCGGGAACCTCCCGGCACTTTGTGGCCGCATTATCCCAGGAAACGGGGCTGGGAAAACAGCTGCTGAGAACCGGGGATGGGAGATGGCTGGAGAACGGGCCCCAGAGTGGTGATCTTGGCAGCATGGGCAGCATTGACCCGGGAGCGATCCCTGTCCCACGCTGTCGGGCTGGGCTGCCGTGGGGAGCAGGGGCTGGGGATCCCATGTGACGGGGGGGTCTCCAGGAGCTCTTCCCCCTGCTCCAGGCTCTGCTTTAACCACTAAACCACCCTGTCCCCCTTCCAGGCCTCTGGGAGCACCTGCCCCCATCCCTGCCACCGGCGCTCAGCCCTGCGATGCTGGTACATCCTGCTTTCCATGGGGCAAGGGGGTCTGGTGGTCTCCCTGGCTCCCCAGGCCCGGCGTCCCACAGGGCCACAGGGGTGGAAAGTTCCCGGGCAGCGTGCCGGGAACGCGGTGGAAGTTTCCAGACGCCGGGGAAATCTGGGGGGAAATTCTCCAGGCCGGAAAGTCTGCCGTCAGCACCCCCTCCGGCCGAGCCGGAAACGCTGAGCTGAGCCCCGAGTCACTCGCCGCGCGGTGGAAGCTCTGATTCCCCCGTTGAGTCGGCTGAGGTTTTCCAGCCAGCCTCACGTCCCTGGCATTGCTCACGGCCCCCTGCCACCTGCCCCTCGTCTCCCTCCTGGCCCCCAGGACCGTCTCTCCCTGCCTCTGGCCTCTCTCTCCTGAAATATCTGATCCAGGCCAGCGCTCGGCTTGCTGGTCTCCACCCTGGGCTCTCATCTCACTGTTACAGCTGGAAGGGCTCCAGGGTCTTTGAAACCTTGGCTCGGAGACCACGGTGCCTAGGCTGTATCCCACGGGGCAGCCCGGCTATATCCCCTGAGTCTCCTGCCAGCACCCGCAGCCTCGCCGTTCCGCAGGAAAGGACTCGAAGGCGCCAGCGCTCGGAGACCCCTCTTACTGCTCGGCTCTGCCCAGAGAGAGCATCCCTGGAAGAGGTAGGTGGCTGCATCCCGAGAGCAGGGGGCTCGCCAGCCTCGCCGGACAGGGGAGAACATGGTCCAGGGCCCGGGAGTGAAGCCCAACAATCCCCAAGGTAAAACAGCAGCGATGCAGGATCCCAGTGTTACCAAGGGGGATTTTCCACCACCGGTAATTTTAACCCCTGGCCCAAACAGGGATGCTCAAGTGCCTCCGGACAGCTCTGCAGCCGGCGGGAGGGTTGCAGCGACCCCTCTCAGCCTTATAATCCGTGATGTGAGATTCATTCCCTAACAACCCCATGTAGCCCCGTGCGGCCCCGTGCCCCGTCTCTGACAGAAGCTCAAACCCGCAGCCTCAGAGCGGAGTGGTCCTGGCTGACAGATGTTTTCCCTTGTGCTGGGTTGGCGAGGGCACACCAGGTTGCTCCTGGATGAGGAGACTGCTCCATGCCACGTGCCGCTTCGCCACCCACCCAGGGCCCCTCTGCACCGAGGTCCAGCTCCTTTGTGAACCGGCCAGGCCTGTCTTTCCTCTCCCCCTTCCCTGGATTATTCCCAAGCCCCCAGAGGTTCTTGTCGCTTGTCCCGAACCCCTCCAACCTTTGCAAATGGAGGTGGCCAGACCTGGCAGCCACCTTACTGGGGTACCGCCCATCACGAGAGCACCAGCTTGATGGTCTGGCTTGATGGGGGCAGCTGAGCCTCCGGCGTGATGAAAGCCGGGACGCTGGGTGCCTTCAGAGGCCATGCCTGCTCACAAGGGGTCCCGCTGACCTGGGGCCAGGCAGGATTGTCCCTCCAGGCCAGGCCAACCCTGACCATGGGGGCTTTGTGCCTCTACAGCATGGGGCACGGGACCCTCTGGGCTGAGCTGACCCCTCCACACCCCACCCACAGCAGGGGGGAGGTACTGGTGCTGCCCCGGGGAGAGAGCAGACGCTACGGCGAGGAGCGTTGCTTTATGCAGGACATCACATCTC